TCAGAAAGGGAGCTGCACAAACAGGGACTGGCTGGGTCAGCCTTCTGCATTATTTGGTTCAACCTCTTCCTTTTACAAAGAGGGAAACTGAGCCCCAGAGAAGGCAAAGGCTCAGCCTAGTCTTCCAGAAGTGGGTGACAGAGCCAGGATTGGCCCCCTAGTCCTACATGGCAGCCTCTGTGCCATTGTATGGGGCAGGGTCTGTTTTAGGGATAGGGTGAAGGGCCTAAGTCCAGGGGTAAGACCTGCCTTCTATCCATAGGGTCTCCTCAGATGGCCCTTCTGGGAGCCATGAAAGAGGCTTAGGCTGGGGACATAACTTTCTCTGGGGGGCGGTTGCCCAGAAATCCCACCCCATTGACCCCCTACAACACTCCTGGTGCCCACCTTGGGGCTAGCTGGTCCTGACTTGGCTTAAATGGGCAGGCTGTTCTCACTACCAAGCTAGCACAGCCAACTGGAAAGGGAAAACTGTGTGCCAAAGGGTCCTCCTGGGGCACTGGGGCAGGGACTGTAGGCAGCTGTGCCCAGACTCCGGATGGTACAGAGAGCAGCCAAACCAAGGTAGGGCCTGGCAGTAGAAGTGCTCTTGGCATGCCAAGTGTAGCAAGAGGCAGGCACCGGGCCCAGAAAGGCCTAGCCCTCAGAGGAATACTGGTCACTAGGGAGGGGGCGGGACACACATGGGCCATGGGCTTGTGCCACCCATCCTCAAGGGGATACTCTGGATGTCTCAGGAAAGAGCCTAGCCCAGTGCCTGACCCCAAACGATGCAGGAGAGACTCCTCTGATCACAGAGGGCCTGTGCTGGCCTCCTCCCCACAGGCTGCTCAGAGGGGACAAAGCTGCAGAGCCAAGAAGAGAGGTGGGAGGTGAGGGATGAAGCATGCTATGAGGGGCTGTGGTCCAAACCGTGGAGAGCTGGGCTTTGAGGGATTCGGGCGCCTCTGAGGCTGCAAACAGGAAACTGAGAGGGTTTTGCCCAGCCTTGGAGCCACTGGGTGATGCAAACGGTTAACATACTCAGCTGCTAACTGAAAGGTTAGATGTTTGGGTTTACCCAGAGGTAAAAAGGAAAAAAGGCCTGGCAATCTGAAAAACCAGCCATTAAAAACTTATGAGGCACAGCTCTACTCTGACATACATGGGGTCACCATAAGTCAAAGTTAACTCAATGGCACAGGCGATAACTGCCCAGCCCCAGACTTCAGCAAGGGCTGCGGTCACATAGCAGGAGCTCACCATGGCAGCAAGCTGAACTGCTCAGGGGTGTGATTTGTGGGTCCTTAAGATGCTTCTCTTCTCTCAGGGCTCCTCCCATCACCTTTGCCTGTATCCTATTCCCTCTCACTACTCTGAGCTGTCCCTGTGAATTCATGGAGAGGCTGGTAGAAGCTTCCCTATGATATGGAGATGTGTGGGCAGGTCTCTTCGCACCCCCCCAAGCCTCGAGAGCAGCAGGCAGCCTTCTTGGGCCTCTAGCCCCTCACCAATCCCACCGCCCAATGCCCAGTGTAGCCTGGCTCAGTTGTCAGCCCTGGGCAGGAGGGCATTGCTCTGGGGCCTGGCCTCTAGGAAGAGTACAGTCCAGAAGCCCTTAAACCCACCCCCTGCTCCTGTGCAATAAAGCCACATTTCCAAAATAGCCAAGGCAGTCTTCAAGGGCCAGGCCTGCCAGCCTGTTGCTTCCCAGCCCAGGCTTGGCTTCAGGCTTCTCATCCTTAGACATCAGAGCAGGGATCCTCACCTCCAGGAAGCCTTCCATGGCTCCCAGGCTGGTGGGGCATGACTTCTCCTGAACCTCCACAGTCCCACAGCCTCCCACCCTGTCCCCAACAGCACTGAGCATTCTGTGGTCATTGTTTATAATTTCTGTCTCCCTGATAACTGTGAAGGTCTGCGTCCCCGGCAGCCTGGCACACAAGTGCTCAATTCATGTTTGCGAAACAAGTTTGTTCACCAAAAAATCCGAGTGAATGATTAACTGAGTGACCTTGGGCAATTCCCTTGCCTTGCCTAGGCGTTGGATTTTCAACAGTCCAGTGGCTATAGGTCTGCGGTGTCAGTGTTTTTTCTGGTCCCAGTGCCCTGTGTGGGTGGCCAGGTGGCCTGGGTAGGGGAAAGGGTTGTTGGAATTGGCCCTGGAAGCAGAAGAACCTTAAGTTCTGCTTCAGTCCTGATTCTGCCTCTATATTCCTAACGCTGGTGCTGACCCAGCTCTGTCATCCTGCCCCCACCCCCACATGGCCTCTGACACTATTTCAGGCCATCAGGGCCCACAGGGTCCTTGGGGACCCAGACTACCAAGGTAGAGAGTGAGGCCAGCCACTCTGGATTGGATTCCTGACAATCCAGGGCTGTGGCAGGTCTTCGTCTCAAGGTTGCCTGGTAACGGCTTTTGCATTCTGATGAAAAACTGTGGCAGCACCAGACAACAAACACAGGGCTTGCATGAGAGGGTGGGCATGTAAGGTGGGGCTAGGCCAAGGCAGGGGCAGGCCAAGCCAGGATCTTGCCCCACTGTGGCAGGTACCAGGGCTGGGCCCAGCCTGGCCCAATGGGCTTCAGTGGGAGTGGGAGGCTTGAAGGGCAGGCAGCCCAGTCTGCAAGGGGACACCTAGCCTGGCATCTGCCCCTCCCACCCCCTTCCCTACACCTGCAGCTGGTGGCTTCCACCCGGTGAGCCACAGCCGGTGCCACCTCTCATTAGGTGATGATTTTACATTAATTACCTTAATTAAGCGGCGCTGAGTGCTAATGGCTTGTGTCGGGGGGTGACTGTTCCTAATTACCCTCCCAGTAAGCCCAGAGAGAGGGGCTCAGGACTTGGCAGATCAGGAACAAACAGTGGCAGGAAGAAGTGACCCACTAGGGGTGAGAGAGGGGCTGAAGCAGGTGCCCCTGAAGATGGTCTCCCTTTCGGCCACAGAGCCTGGCTCAGAGAACTACCTGGTTCTGGTGGCCTGAAGGAGACTTGGAAGGGAGGCCTGCAGGCACTGCCCCACGGCAGGAATGGATGGCTCCAAGGCCAAATCTGGGGCTGGAGATGGGGTGGCTGGGAGACAGGCTGGGAGATGGGAACTGGGCAGTGCCACCCTGCTCCTTGGACTTCTCCTGTCCCCTTCCCTGTGGCTCCTCAGTCACCTGCCTGATTCCCTTAACTGGGCTAAAGACCTCTCTCCTCCCCATCTCTATTCAGCTCCAAGATCCAGGTGAAATGTCACTTCATACATTCATTCATTCATTCATTCATCCATTCAGTCAGTCAGCATGAGAGTACCCATCTGGGTCCTACACTGTAAGGTACCCTCAAGGAGCTCACAGCTAAGAACAGATTGATAGAAGACAGTGATAAGATGCAGGACAGTAAATGGCCCAGGTTTGGGGGTCAGGAGAGAGTTCCCACAGAAAGTGATGCCAGGGTTGAGTCTTAAGGAAGGGATTGATGCAATGACTATTCCAGGCAGAGGGAATGGCATGTGCAGTTGGGGCTTGTGATGAAAGAGGATTGGCTTACTCAATTAGTAGCAAGCTGCTCAGTTCAGGGATGGAGTAGGGAACAAGGGAAGAAGTGGCTAGAGGTGATCTGGGTGATATGGGCGGGGCCTAGAAGGAGCAGTCTTGATACAAGGGCTGGGGAGGCTCTGGTGGCATCGTGCCTAGACATTTGACTACTAACCAGAAGGTTGGTGGTTTAAACCCGTCAGACACTCCTTGGAAGGAAGATGGGGCAATCTGCTTCCATAAAGATTTACCCCAGTGGGGGTCCTGTGAAACCCAGTGGGGGTCCCATGAATTGGAACCAATTTGGTGGCTTTGAGTTTGGTTTCTTGGCTTGGGGGGCAGTACTGACTTCATTTGAGAAAAATTACTACAGTGGGTAGAGCAGGGATAGTAGGGGCAAGGGCAGGTGGGGTGACAGTGAGGAGGCCACTACAGTCTTGGAGCCTGGGGGAGGGCCCACGTGGTGGCTGTGAAGATGGAGGGAGAGAAACACACAGATCCAAAAGCTTTGGGAATGTCATGGTGAGAGAGCGTGAATGTGGGGATGAGTTAATGGGATGGGGAGAGGAAAGGGCCAAGGTGGCTCCATGTTGCCCAGCTCCAGGAGTGCCCTCCCCATTGCACTGCTGTGACCCTGTTCCATGTTTCTAGCTAGTTGGGATCAGAGTCTCTGAGAATGGGAGTGGGGTGGTGAGCAGGTTTGGGGGGATGAGGAGGAAGAACTGAATTTGGGGCATGTCGAGATCAGGAGCTTGTGAGGTATCATGAGTTCCTGCAGGCTCAGGCCTTGGGATTAAGAGCAAGTCTGAGCTAGATTTAGGGGTGTAGGAGATGCCAGCAAAGAGATGCCCACATGGGAGAAATGAGATTGCCCACGGAGGCTGGGGCTGGGGCAGGAGGCCCGTACCACCCATTTTGCAATCACTGTTGCTTATAGGTCTGATTCCCCCTCCAGTCTGTCTCTTCTCTGATGGGGCAGCCATGTCTATCATCTCCACTTTTGCATCCCAGGAGCCAGTACAGGGCCTGGCCCAGAGGAGCAGCTCAGGGAGTATTTGCTGAAGTAATAAATGAGTGAATGAATAAATGAATGAATAACTCTGTGGCTCTCAAGCCCAACCAGGCAGCCCTGCCTTCTCTCCACTCAGCCACAAAGATTCAGACAGAGTCCACACTCCTCCAAGACCAGAGCCCCCTCCTCTCACTTTCCTGAGCCCCAGTCAGAAACCTGGGGGAAAGGGTGGGCAGACCCTGCCCCTCCCATGGTCCCTCCCATTGCCGAGGGCATGGCTGAGGGGAAGCAATAGGCCTTTCTGCTCCCTGGTGGACAGAACAGAATCTGATCTTGTTTTAGGCCTATCTCTCTGCCCTGTCCCTAAGCCCCCTCCCAATAAATGTTTCTGAGCATTTTCCCCTTCCTCTATAGCTGAAGTCTTTCTGTGAAAAAAGAATGCACTAGTCCCAGTTTTGCCCCCTGCAAGATCCAGGCCACTTACCTTGATTTCTACACCGTAGCCAGGATAGACGGAGATGTAGTAGAAACAGTCCAGGCCAACATCAGGGGGTGAGCTGGAGGCTGTGGGGGAGTCCAGAGAGCCCTCTGGGCCTGAGAAATTCCAGCTACAAGGGCCTGGGAGGGAGGAGGAGACACAAGGGTAAGTCCAGTTTGTAAGGTAAGGGTAAGGAGCCTTGGCAAGTAAGGCTGGACCGTATGTATGTGTGTGTGTGTGTGTGTGTGTGTATGAAGTCCACCTGACAGGATGCCTATTCCCCTGTTGTAAGAGGGGGACTGCCTTTTATTGAGCACCTACTAAGTGAAAGCTTATCTCAATTCTCACAAGAGTTCAATGAGATAAGCCTTATCTCCATTTTACAGATGAGGTTCAGAGAAGTTAGACAAAATTCCTTGGGTCATACTGTAGTTGGAAGAATTGGGATTTGAACCCAGGTCTATCTGGCTCCAATCTACATGCCTCCTACAGGCTGGCCCTTGCTGCCAAAGGGGAGGGTAAGTTGCATGTGTCAGAGACAGAGGAACTTAGGGGTCCCACAGCTCTCCCCCTCCATGCTCATTTCTAGATCTTCATGCTAGCAGGTAGCTCACCTGGTGCCTGGACTGTGGTGATGGTGGTGGTGATGATAGTGGTAGTGGTAGTTGTCTCCTCGTCATCCCCTGAAGCTGTGGAGGTGGCAGTGGTCCCCTTGAGCCTGAGCCCTGCGGTCTGGGACATGACCTCTGGAACCCATGGCCTGCCCATGTCTCCTGGACCTTCTTGGGTTGGAGTCCATGCCCTGCCAGGGGGCGTAGTAACAGGTTTCTCCCCTGGGCCTGGGGTGGGCACTGCCATGCTGGGGCCTGGAGGTAGAGGAGCTGTGATGTGAAGTGCAGAGGGCTCTGACTGCAGGCTCCAGAGGCCCTCCCTGGACTGGGGTTGAGTGGGTATTGCAGCTATGGCTGGAGTTGGGCTGGTGAAGACGGGGCGGCTATCCTGGTTGGTGAGGCGAGGGAGGGGACTTGGAGTGAAGGGAGCAGGTGGATTAGGCTGGAAAGGCAGCGCAGGCCTCAGCTCCTCCTCTGCCCCCTCCAGACCCTCGTGTAGGAATTCCTCTAGCAGCGGGTGGTGGTTTAGCAGCTTCAGAGTGGGTGCTGTTGTGACGAAGTGGATGCCTCGTTCTGGTTGCTCAGGTGTGGGGGCTGCTGTCAGCTCCCCATCCATCTCCTCAATGCCTGGGGCCTGCCCTTCACCCATGGTTGGGATCTCTGAGGAGAGTCCTGAAATAATAACGCATGATCAGAGGCTCTCCCCCTATCCCACAGGGAGCAGCATCGCACCGAGCCCAGGCAGGGGGAGATCCATCTCTCTTTTGACAGAGAACCTTGAGGAGCGTGCTCCTGTTGAGGATCATGGAGCTACAGAATCTTAAACTGGAAGTGAGATGATATCACATACTTCATGGATGGCACCTGAGATGTTCTTCCCCCTCCAGTACCAGAGGCAGACATTGCTAATTGATCACTGCACTATTTCCTTTTGTCTTAATTCAGATTCAGAATCCTTCTCAACACAGGCAACCATGCCTGAAACCTCAGGTTGACAAGAAAATAAATATTTACCATTAATGTAGCTCAAGGGCCTATCTTACTGAAACAAGCTAGAGAAAGGAAGTGACTTTCTCAGAATCACATGGTTAGTCAGTTGAGAAACTGAGATGAGAACCTTAGGAAGAGTGTCAACCCCAACTACAGTGCATTTTATGCCTGAGATTATAGGACATTCAAGTTCATTTTCTGTTCTCAGTGAATCTGATGGTCACTAACCTTGGTAAATACTTCATAGAGTTTTAATCTAGATTCCCTCACAAATTCTTTGTTAGGGTCCCAGTATGTCCCATTCCTCTCATGTCTCATAAGACAATAGTTTCTTCAGTTCCTCTCCCTTTTATATGTTCCATCTAGAGCAACACTGTGAGTACAGTAGGAAGAACCAAGCTCTGGAGTCAGGCAAATGTGGCTTTAAATCACAGATCCATCACTTTGGAAATGTGCAACCTCAGGTAAATAAGCTAAACTCTCTGAACCTAAGTTTTCTCATCTGCAAAATGTATGTGTGTTTTCTTTTAAGGTTTAACTGAGATAATATTATTCCTGTCTCATTAGCTGTGTCTCCCTGAAGTCCTCTAATCTTTCTTGGGACACTATTGAGGATACATCTAAGGCAGTGTCTAAAGCAAGGATAACAGATAGACATCAGGTGAGCTACAACTCCCTTTATCTGTGGCAGACATTGCTAATCAATTTTGACTCTTTCTTGCTGAGAGCACATAGGATTTCAGAATCCTTCTCAATACAGCTATCCAGGTAGCCATTACCAATAGATTACCTAGATAGGCTATGGAAGATGAAATGTGTTTGCTGTCTCTGGTCTGAGGTACAGATTGCTCTGCTATTGATTATGTTGACTTATTCAAACACAGAGCTGAAGAGGAGATGCATATTCTACTTGTGGCCCACTGGGTTCCCCAGATCCTTAACTGCTCAGAAAAGATCAGTGGATGCTGGCTCCAGACTCAGCTCACACAGAATTTTGCCACATTTGAGAAGGCCGAGAGGATATTCCTGATCCTTATAGCTCTGGAAATGGCTGCATGAGGACTTGAAGGGAATTACAGCCAGGGTGAAATTAACAGAGTTTGCAAGGAGAAGGTCGGTTCCTCCTCCCGTCTGGTGGCAGGGCTGTCATTCCATGGGCTCACACCCACCCCATGGATTGGCAGTCGTGAGGAAGCAGCAGATGGCCTACATTCTGTTCAGGAGACCATGGCAGCTCTGATGTGTCAGACAAATGGGAGGAGGGAGGAAAGTGAGGTGGAAAGTGGGTGTAGGTCAGAGGGCTCTCCATTCCTCTGGGTCAGAAGGGCCCAGGAGCCCAAAAGCCCTGAGAAACCAGAACCCCTGTCTCTTGAGATGCCCACAGAAGCAGGCTGTCTGTGCCCTGGCACTCCATGCCATGCTGGGCACTGGCAACACAGTGCCCAGTGAGATGCCCGGCCAGGTCCACACCCCCACAGAGCAGATGGTTCACCAATGTCCTGTGTCTTTCATTTGAGTCAGAGGCAGAGGGTCCAGGCAGTGCCTGTGACATGGCAGTGCAGTGCTCCTCTCTTTGCCCACCCCCCACATGTCACAAGGTCCAGGCTCAGCATGACACAGGGAGGAGGAGCCTTTCTCACCACACACCCTGGAACCCCTGGAGTTGTGCATTGCTCATGTGTCCCTTTCTAGGATTGCCCATGGCTCCCACGGTAGGTTCCTGTAGGACTTTTCACTGGGAGAATGTTCAGAGATCCCATCTTAGGCAGTGACCACAGTAGGCACAGCCCCTCCCATAGCTGCCAGGTGGGTGCTGGGCAATGGAGCGGAGCTAATGGGCACCTCCCGTCACTGTCGATTGCACTGATTGTGTTATCTTGGGGGACTGAGCACTTGGTTAAATGGGATCGAGATAGCATATCAAACGAGCAAATTGATTCCACAATCAGCTGCCACTTGGTCCCAGCGGGTGCCACCCACTATCACAGAGGGTAAGATAATCTCTGAGAGACAAGCCATTTCTGGGGAGAAGGCATCTCCAGACCTCTGGTGGACTCCAGGAGGCTCCTGGGGTTGTGGCCAGGAGGTCACAGGCTTTCTCTCTATGTGGGCTGATGGAATTCAGGAGTACAGGGGCTGGACAAAGGGTGGGCTCCCTGCCTTCTGCACCCCCTGGGGTCCTTCTGTCCCTACCTGTTGTCTCCCCTCAAGCTGAGAGTGTGATGCAGAGGACTGTGAAGGCAACATTGAAGGTGCAGATGCCCCGTCTCTCCAGGTACCTACTGTGTGCCAGACATTCACACATCTTACAGTGCTTAATCCACATTGCAATTCTGTGAGATGGGAACTTTATTTCCATTTTAGAAAGAAACTGAAGCCCTGAAGCCGAGGAGAGGGATATAGTGAAGTGAATTGCTCAAGGTCCCTCAGTGGTAGAACTGAGATTTGAACCTACACATTTATCTGGCTTCAAAGCCTTAAGTTCTTATCCAACACCAGCCTGCCTCTCAGGAGGAAGAGTCTAGAGCTATCTAGCAGAGAAGATCACTGTAGGCAGTTACTAAGGCACAGAGAGAGGAGTGGATTTGTCCCAAGGTCTCATGTAGAGTAGAGGTAGAGCTAGGACCTTAGCTCAGAGGCAGCACTCCCAGGCTCTGGCCTCTAGGAGCCTAGCTGGGCCCTTGAGAAACCTTTAGCTGGGACCCAGGGGGCACCCACCCTGTATGTGCCCAAGGCACATCTGAGTCTGGAATTGAAACCCGAGACCCAGCTCCACAGCTCCACAGAGCCAGGAAATGAATCCCCTGGGGCTGGGTTCAAGTGTGACCTCTGCCACTGCAAAGCTGCGTGAGCTTGAGCATTTCCTCTTAGACTCTTTGCCTCCCCAGCTGTAAAATAGGCGCCAGCACCGTGGAGGGGTTTTGTGACCATCTGAATGTGCTAAACAGCTGTACCCAAAGGGCGAGGCTGAGTGGCCTCCTGCCAGGGCCCCATTGAGGCAAGCCTCTTGGGTGGAGAGGGGCTGGCCTGGGGGTGAGGCCTCAGCTCTTTGGGGTACCACGTTCCCTTCTGGGAAGTGGCATATGTGATCCCGAACATGTCAGGTCACCTCTCTGGGCTTCAGCATCCTCACCTTTAAAATGGGGATAATATTGTACTACCTGTGCAAAGGGCAGCCACCTTCATGGCCCGGCATGTCCCTAGGGGACAGCATTGTGGTCACAGCAAGACAGCCCCCCCTCCCCAGGATCCCTACCTAGTGCCAGGACACAGGGACACAGCCCTGGGCTGTTCTTTTGTCCTTCCCTCCCGCGGGGCTGGGGGGCTACAGCCTCCACGTCGCCCAGTCTGGGGAAACTCCCACTCCCTCTCTACAACGCCACCCCCTCTACAGAGGAAGCCCGGGAGCTTCCCGGCAGCCCCCAGCCCGGGCTCGGCCCCGCCGCCGCCCGGACCCTCCCCCCGCATTAGCTCTTAAGCTATGCAAATAGACATCGGAGGGAGCCCTGTTTAAAGTATTTAGACGAAATGAAAAAAGGCTTTCATCGGCACTAATGAGCCATTCAGGATGCCTCCCCGGTGGATTCGCTCCGCTCCCGCCTCCCGGCCCTCGCTGCTCCCCCCACCCCCATGGCCCCTCTCTGGGGAGTTGAAACCCTCTCCACCCTACTCTCAGCCTAGGCTCCCTTTAGAGAACCACCTATCTTGCTCCCGTCCTCCCAACCTCTTGGAACCCAGCTGGGTGAAGGTAGAGGTAAGGTAGAAATGTCCCCCACTCCCACCAGGCCTGGATGAAGATGGGGCCCAGCCTCTGTTTGGAGGAAGCCCTGACAACTGGGGCCTCTTCTTCCCAGCAGCCAGCTAGGTAGGTGTTATGTTACAGAAAGGGAAACTGAGGCTGGGTGAGGCCCAGGAGGTAGTCCAGAGGCACAGTGCTGGTTGCCTGGAGTTGGAATTGGTTTGTGTGAAGGCAAAGACCAAGGATGAAAGGTCAGGTCAGGTGCCCCTGCCTGGGAGGACCACTGTACTTGGCAGGTGATGATTAGACTCCTGATGCCACCTCGGTGTCACCTGGCCTGCCCCCTTGGTGCCATAGTTTCCACAGGAGTTTCTGCACCAGACAGCCCAAAGCCTCAGGTTCTAATCCTGAATCTGGGCTTTACTATCTGGTCAACCCAGGCAGGGGACTGGCCCGCTTGAGCTACCTCTATTTCATCATCCATGAAGTGGGTCCACCCCGGGTTTGTTGAGGGCTCATTGAGAGACTAGCATATGCCCTGTCTACCAGCCCCACTCCATCCTCTGCAAGGGCAGGAAGAGACACCTGCCACTCTGGCAGCCCCTGTGGCTATGGAGGTGCTAGGCATTCCCCATCCAGGGCCCAAGCCACTGGCTCCTCAGTGCCTGGCACAGGGCTGGTGGGAAGCAGGGGGCCCCAAAATTCTGGGTGCAGTCAGGTTTGATTCCCACCTCTCACCATGGCAGCACTAGCTCTTAGCTTGTTGGGGGAGAACAGCATGTAGGGACAGGGTCCCCAGCCCACTCTTCTGGGTTCCAGAGGTTAAGCTGGCCTAGCACTGAGAGAATGAGAATTTAATGGGATCCATTTATTATCCCATAAAAGTTAATGAGTTTATTCTGGAGGTTCCCTGGCCCCTTTCAAGTTTTAATAGGGGATTAGT